CACACACACTCACTCACCCACCCACATACATATACACACACACACTCACTCACACACATACACACACACACACACACACACACTCACACACACACACACTATTTTTCTCTGTATTAGTTCAGTTTGATGTTTTTTTTATCTTTTTATCTCATAGTTTTGTTTTTGCTTTGAAACTGATATGATTTTCATTTCTGTCCTCAGCAGATTATTGTTTATAAGGGTCCCTCTTCCCTCCCTCCTCTTCCCTCCCCTCCCTCCATCACCCATTTCCCTTTCTCTCCCATCCTCCCTCACCCTGGATCTGAAGTGTTTACATTGGTTATTCCAATGTAATGTTAGTTCTGTCTCAAGAAACGTCTGCACCTCCAGAGACAAGTGAAGTTGATTTGAACTTGAATTTGATTTTTTTAAGTTATGTACCGTTTGGGACACAGGAGAAAACGGACATTACTCGTTACTCTCCCTCAGACTGTTTACTTCTGGTTTTGACGACCTCAATAACAACTTGTTTGAGGCACAGTGATTCATTGACCTTTCATTTACTACTGGATTCAAATCAGATATTCTGCTGGATTTAAACACTTTTCCTGTTTATTTTGAAGGAATTCATGTTAACATTTACAAGCATTTTACCTGCAGTGGTCGTTGTGTTGCATCTGATCATGAATCATTTCATCTTACCCTTTGTTTTTGGAGGGATCCTGAAAACATTATGGTTGAAGGGCAAGATGTCACCACCCCTACATGACATAGAGAAATAGAACAACATCGTGAATCTGTTAAGTTTAGATCCATTGAACCTTTAATAAAAATCATTAAGATTAAATAGAAGTTAGAAAGCTGAAGATAATTGATGTGAAGAACAGAAATATTTGATATATTAAAGATACATGTTAAAGAACCACAGCAAAGGTTTTATTTCTGATATTCATCTGATTGTTCTCATCGTCTTGTTCATGGAGGATCTCAGTTTGACAGAAATACGTGGACACGTGTTCAGCTGCAGGGCCTCACCTGTCAGGTGACAGTTGCCGTGACAATAATAGGTATTTTAATAGCTACAGACAGTGTCTAATGTTTTATCCAGATGAATCCTGATTCTAATGCTCCTCGAACTCACTCACTTTAAGTCCAGGAAGAGATGAGATAGTGTGATCTGTGAACTGTGACACCTGAACCTAAACATACATTAAATGTGCGACGGATCACAGATCGATCAATTAACCGTGTGAACCACCTTCAACCAGGTGTAATGTTCCTTTAAAGTAGAAGGTTCTCTGACGGTCACATGATATAATTCACATCAGTATGTTTTATTTTTCTGTTCACATCTCTGAATCACAACCATGTAGCATCAAACTGAAAACATCCATTAGTGCAGAGCCACATCGGGGGTGGGGGGGTGGATGTCATTGTCTGTAAAGGAATCTCCTGTCAGCAGATGGGATGATTTATTTAGCAAAGAGAGAGAGAAGAGGAGGGATGAAATGATTTGTGTGTGAAAGAGCAGAGAAGATGAAAAAGAAAGAGAAGAAGAAGAAGGAGAAGAGGAAGAGGGAGATGAGAAGATAGGATGATAAGAAGACAGGATGAGGTGATTGTTGGTGAAAGGATAGAATTACACAGCGCAGGATTATCTGCACTCACCTGGTTTACAGGTGAGACACAGGTGAGGTGTTGGCTGATGAGCTGAGAGCTGCTCACACTCCAAAATATCTTTTACCTGCAGGTCCCATTCAAGCAAACATCAAGCAACCAGAGGAGAGCAGCTCACCTGCAGACAGAGGCACATGGACACGCACGTCACCTGATTCTGTTCTCATCTCGACACAGTTCAGTAACAGTCTCTGTTCTGACACAAGTTCATTCTTAGCCGCAGCAGGTCACCTGGTCATTCACCTGGTCATTCACCCGGACACTCACCTGGTCACTCACCTGGTCATTCACCTGGACTCTCACCTGGTCACTCACCTGGACTCTCACCTGG